TCTCCGTGTGCAGTGTTGCAGGGCACTGACCAAGTTGTGAGGGTCTCTGTCTTCTACGTGTTGGGGTGCAACCCACACTGAGGCCTGCCCCATGCCCTCGCGTAACCCCATAGATGCAGAGAAAAGCTGTACTTCAGACGAGAACTTGAGGAGGGTCCCGTTTTCAGTGTCTCATCCTCCGCGCAGGTTGGGGGTGGGCTGACCCGGAGAAGCCCGCCAGGTACACGCATCGCCACGGAGCGCTCGGACCCTGATATCTGCTCCTTGGGCCTGTGTGAACACACCAGCAGACCTTCCCAAGGAAGCCGCCAGGGAGCTCCAGGGAGAATGGATTCGCCAAGAAGAATTTTGGAGGGACTTTCTTGGTTTGCCATCTTCTCGGCTTCCCCTCGGGCACCTGAGACCCAGAAGCTGACAGAGATGGAGTCCGTCCATACTCGCAGGACAGATGGACAAAAGGGGCACACCGCTCCATTTTTGCCCGAGTGGGCACACTTGTATATTCCATCAATGCAAGTCCAGGAGCCCTGGTGGCACACGGCAGGCTAACCATTGGACTGCGCACCAAAAGGCAGTTCAAACCAACCTGCTGCTGAGCTGGGAAAGGATGAGCCAGTCTGCTTCCATAAAGATAGCAGCCCCAGAGACCCAGGGTGTTGGGGAGAGGAATCTCTTCTCGGCCCTAGAGGTAACATAGCCCTGGTTGTGGCCAGGGGCAGGCAGCTGGCTGCCATTTTTTTGATCAGTGGGTTGGAGCCAACGGCTTCCTGGAGGAGTCTTGGAAGTGGCATGTGACTGTGTGATTTTAGGATAGCATTGCACCTGAACCAGGAATCAGTTCGTTCTCGGATCAGGTGTGCCAGGGACCTAACGGTTCTCCCCCCTCCTCCTCCAGCCATGCCCCATCCCACCCGCAGCAGAAGGCCGGTGCTGCTGTCAGCAAGCTGAAAGCCAGGGTCTCCCACTCAGCTCCAATCTCTAGCAGGTTCCTCTCTTTGCTCCTCATTTGCATCTGGGACATCAATTAGCATGTTTGTTGAGGCTAATTGAATGAAACTCAATCATAGCTCTTAATTGCTTGACTATGTGAAAAGAAATCACATTAATGCAGCTAATTAAGTGTACGGCAATAGATGCAACATAATTAGGAGCGAAATGTAAAAACAAGGGACAGGCAAAGGTGCCAGCTCGGGGTGGCCGGGGACAGCCTGCCACCGCCGCCAACGGTCCCCGCGCTCACAAGACTGCGCGTGGAAGAGCCATTGGAGCCCGGACAAGTGCGGGAGAAATGCAAATAGGGCCGCAATTACTACTTTTTCAAGCTGTTGAGGGCTCCTAGCCCACACCTCTGGAGGGGCCAGGTTCTTGAGTGGGCCCCGGGGACTTGTTAAGTGCTGTTTAAAAGTACTTGGCATCGAATTACCCTCATGCCTTGTTAAAGGGTCTATTTTCCCCCCCCTCACCACCACCACCACCCCCCTTTCTTTCCCTTTTATCTCAGATCAGCATTTTCTGGCAGCAAGGCTGGTCTAGGTCACATTTGCATATCAAAATCCCGCTCTCCGCCTTCAAGCCCATGGCCAGGACCCCAGACAGATGCTTCAAGCTGTTTGTCCCACTTGGCGGCGGTGGGCGTTGTTCTGCGCTTGTTGCTTTAATTCCTCGAGCATCCAACACCGAGCTGGGGCCTGTTGAAAGCAAGAGTGCTTTTAAAGAGAGGCTCCAGGTCGAGCGCTTCTCCTGGGAGCAAGTGGAGGTTTCGGCAGGCCACCAGGATAGGCTTTGCCTGGCTGGGGGATGCACCTTGTAAGCATCCTGCTTTGTTGTTGAAGGGAATCTTCCCTTCCCTGACTTGACATCGGAATCCTATTGTCGCGCCTAGACTCTAGCTCTGAGAACTGGGGCCAAAGTTTCTGCCTGGAACCCGCACAAAACTACAGGAGGATGCGCGCAAAAAGCACACAGGCGCCTACCCGGCCCCTCCACGGCCCATGCTGAGCCGAGGATAAATGTACTGGCTTGTCACAGCTAGACCCTAAGAGCGGGCCACCCCATACACTCTGATCATAATTTTAAATAAAATATCACAATTCTTGTCTGGGGAACGTGCCTATTAACAGGGCCCTCGCTGAGCCTCGTCACTCTCTGATTAGCCTCATTTCAGAGCTCATAAGCAATAAATGCTCAATTACACTCCTGTTATTGTATTTTAATTTGTTAAGACCCAGGCATTAAAGAAGAAAGTTACAGCAAGTTGGTATTTCTGCGAGGAAGCTCGGCTGCCAGCAGGGAGCCCTGATTTACAAGCATCCGTTCTGATTGGAGAGCCAGGTTGGCATCTTTGGGGCGGGTCTCCGTGGGAGGACATTACAGACACGAGAACAGCCATCATTGAAGACATAACGGCAGCAGCGAACTTGACCATCGGCTCCTCGCTAACCAGAGACCACCCTCCAAACACACCCCACCCCACCCTTTGATGCGCTGTTTTCATCGTGGTCCTGGCCTGGACACCCTGGGACCACTGCATTCGGAGGGTCCCAACACAGGACTCCACAGCAGCATGCGTCCCCTGCCTCCTCCTTTTGAGACAACGTGGAACCCTTTTACATCCTGGGGCCCCTGTTCGATCCCCATTCCTGTACCACCATCGTTCTGTCAGGGCAGGAGCCACCTAGACTCTCCAAGGCTGCGAGGTTCACGGAAGGGGCCTGTAACCTTCGAGAGGGGTGTGGAACCCACCGGCCACTTCCCAGGAGAAAGATGTGGCCGTGGGCTTCCAGAGGGACGGTCCAGCTTGGAAACTCCGGGGGCAGATTTCTGTGGGGTCCACTTGAGTCAGAATAACTCCACGGCCACAGTTTGGTCTGGGGGCTTCGTCTTCACAGGGCAGGTCTCCAGGTCTTTTCTCCCGCAGAGCGCGTGGTGGCTTCAAACCACTGACCTCGTGGCCAGGAGCGCTCTGTGCATAGCGCACCTCGCCACCAGGGCTCCTGACCTCCCTCTCAAACCGAAAAGCCAAACTTGTGTGGAGTCGATGCCGCCTCACTGCAAACCTGTGGGTTTCTGAGACTATAGCTTGTGACCGGAGCAGAAAGCCTCTTGTTTCTTCTCAGGGGCAGCTGGTGGTTTTGAGCAGCTTAGCTCGAGGATCGCAGCCCAGTGTGTAACCACTGCACCACGGGGGCTCCTTTGACCTCCCTGTAGCTCCCTACTGTTAACTGTGGACAGTGGCCTGGGAGGCATAGGCGCAGATCAGTGCCTCCGCCACCCTCCAGTTTCTAGCAGTGCGCTTTCTCCCGGGACACGGCCCCACACACTCGCCTGCGGGCGCCGTGGCTTTTCAGTGCTGCACTGGCCACCCTTCAGGTGGCTTCTGGTGTTTCAACAAATGCTTCCTCAATTCCTACCGGACAGCATCTGTCGTAACCTCCCTTTCCTGTGGGCATGGGCATCCGGCCCACAGACAGTGCCCGTTCTCTCGGCACTGTGGGGTCAGCTTCCTCACCGGGTTTTCTCCTTTTTATTTTTACCTTTTCCCATAACGAATATGCTAGTTGTATCCATTATATCGATGGTGTATGTTTGATACAGTTTAACCTACTGCCATTGAGTTGATTCTGACTCATAGCGACTCTGTAGGAGAGGGTAGAACTGCCCCTGTAGTTTGCTGAGCCTGTGGCTAGTTAAAGCAGGGGTTCTCAACCTGTGGGTCGGGACCCCTTTGGGGGCGGGGCGTCAAACGACCCTTTCACCGGGGTTACCCTATTCATGGCTGTAGCAAAATGACAGTGATGAAGTAACAACGAAAATAGTGTTATGGCTGGGGGTCTCCACCACATGAGGAGTTGTCTGAAAGGGTCGCGCATCAAGATGGTTGAGAGCCACTGATATAAAGGAACAGAAACCCTCGTCTTTCTCCTGTAGAGTGGCTGCTGGTTTCGAGCTGCTGACCTTGCAGTGAGCAGCTTAGTGTGTAACCCACTATGCTCCCAGGGCTCTCGCGGGTCTAGTGAACCAAGAAAATCAGTGCAGCGAGTCCACGCCCACTCAGCGCGGACCTTGTAAGGACAAGGCAGACCTGCCCATGAACTTCGGAGACTCGCTATTTGCAGGAGAGTCCTGTCTCTATCCTGGGAGCACCTGGTGGTTTCGAACAGCTGACGTTTCCGATCGCAGGCCCACTCATAACCACTGCAGCACCAGGGTTCGCTGCGAGTCTAGTAAGAGCCTCTGTTTTGTTTTAAGGTAAGAAAAAGAGAGAGATTTGCCTTCACTTTGAAACGACTGAACTGACCCCCGTCTCCTGGCCTGGCTGCTCACGTAGCTTTCAAATCGCTTGCTGAAGGCTCCTTGCACTCACCACGCTCCGGCCACACCTGGCCCAGTCTCTCCGGGTTCACGCCTTCTCACCTGGAGTCTCTCATTCATGACCCCCCACCCCCACCCTGTCGCCCCACCCCGCGGCCCTCAGCCGTGCCTCCTGTGCCAGGGAACAGCTGTGCGCCTTGGGATTTTCCGACTGGATTCTCAGTAGCCATTGCCGGGTCTTTCTTCTGAGGTGCCGTGGAAAATGCAGACTGTTGACCGAGGGCATCTGCCACCGGCACCCCTCGGGCTCCTGGTCCCAGACAGAGACGAGAGGGGTTCTGAGACAGTCATGTCTTGCCCCCTGGGATTTTACTGAACCTGTAGTCCGGCCCGGGTAGCCTGATGCTACTAAAGAGAGCAAACCCCACCCACTGCCACCGAGTCCCTCCCAACTCATAGCAGTTCTCGTGGGGGTTCCTCAGCTGTCAACCCTGATGGAAGCAGATAGCCTCGTCTTCCTCCCTTGGAGTGGCTGGTGGATTTGAACTACCTTCCCCATACTCAGCCCGCTGACCACCGGGGTCCCTTTCGGGGTTTCAGGGCAGGCTAAGCCTGGTGCGCCCCTCACGGGACAGCCAAGGGACCGTAGTCTTCCTCCCCGCTCACTCCAGTGTCCTCCTTTCCTGCAGGATTACATGCAGAACGCCCACGGGAAGGAGGTTGACCTGCTGAGGACCACCGTGAAGGTCCCCGGGAAGCGGCCCCCTCGAGCCACCTCAGCCTGCACGCCCATCTCTAGCCCGAAGACCAACGGCCTGGCCAAGGACGTCAGCAGCCTGCACATCTCGCCCAACTCAGGTGAGCGCTGGGCCGCGCAGCCCAGGGGCCTGGCTCCCAGTGCCCGGCAGTGCTGGCCTGAGCACAGCGGCTGGGTGCAGGCTCTGGGGTGTCCATGGAGCCGGAGGCACCTCGGGCCACCCCCCTGCCAACCTGCCCCCGGTGCTCAGCACCACGTGGCCCTCACCAGGCGACCAGACACTCCCAGGGTTGATTCTTGGTGGGGAGAACGGTTATACTTGAGCCAGGTAGGTACGTGGACAAGCCTGGGACAAGTCCTGGGTTGATTCTGAGGGACTTCTGGACACGGACCTCCAGTAAACTGGGCCAGCCCCTGCTCAGCCCCCACCTGCCACCCCCCAGCGGCGTAGGATGTCAGCGTTGATCATGCATTTTGTAGGCGTTAATTTTTAAGTATCTTGTGCATTGACACACAGAGGCTGCAGCCTTATGTCCATATTGCCAACTCTTCCCACTG